CATGTCCTATTCCCTGCTCTTAGACTGCCACCAACTGACAGTTAGTGAGACATCATCTATTAAAATGCCCATTTGTTAGCCAAAGGCTCTAAGAGCCATATACAGCATATCCAAAAAAATTGTCAGGGTCATTGTGATCTCTCAGGGTGAACACTTACTATGCCTTTTTAGACAGATACACTGTGTGGTTAGATGGCTTTATCCAACCAGTACAGCATCCTTGCTCCAGACTCCTTGTCCTGAAGATGGGTTGTGGTTGTAAGGGGAGATACATAGGTTCCAAAGGAAAACTCACTGGTGCTCACACAAGGCCCTGGCTCACACTTCTGGACCCTGAAGACTTCAGCTTTACAAAAGATGCCCAGATGATATCCAGGCAAGTTTGTAGACCTACAGCATTATCTGTAAGATTCCCATGTGGAACCTGACCCAGGAAAATGTCCTGTAAATTGTCTATGACCAAAGCCTAAGGAGTTCAGTCCTATTGCACCTTCCCATGGGCTGAAAGGCTTGAGAAGTAACAGGAAATGCCCCATAAGGTCTCCACAAACAGACCAGGTATTGACTCAGGGATAGGTCTGTTAGATTTCCACAACTCTTCCTTTCCACAAAACCTATTTGGGGATATGCCTCATCCATCCCATCTAACTCCCTGTTTAAATGCCTTCTCCCCTTTTTAGTTGTGGATATTCAGCAATTTTTAAAAACTGGGTAGATTTTCCAAGGAGTTGGAAAAGTTTGCTGGTAGTTTCCACATTCTAACAATGGCTTTTGATCTGATCTGGGGAGATGTCAAGTTCTTCCTGGCAATTTGCTACAGGAGAAAGAAAAAAGATTATAAGAGCTACAAAACAGGCTAATAACATCTTCATGGCTTCACTGCTGATAATCAACCAATTGATTCCTTGACCCAAGAGGAGCCTGAGTGAGATTATAACACAGAGAGCAGAAGAATCAAATGGGCATATCAGAGGCTATGTGCCAGGGGATGCCCACGCCTGTATACTACAATAAGCTTAAGTCTTTCTAACTATGGCTTCAAGAGATACTCTATAAATACACTAATTTAGACCTGAAGTCTAGGGAAGTTTAGATTGTTGGGAGCCATTGAAGCTGGAAATTGCACACATGCACATGGCCGACCCAAGAACAAAGAGACACCTCAAGGGCAAGATAAGGCCACAGCTGAGGATACCTGGCTCCAACCTCAATTAACAAAATAAAGACTGTAGCTACAGGCATTTCATTCCTGTAGTGAAAGTCATCCTGGAGACTTTCTCCTAAGATACTTCTACTAAATTAGCACAAGAGAGTTCTCCTAAATTAACATAATGTGTTACTTGGAAAAGTCCTTGAACCAGTCCCAAGACCCTGCTCAATTTCCTGCATTTTCTATTCTAACCCCTTCTTTGTTTGAAGAACTAAATAAATATGGGCTTCCCAGAGACATTCCTGGTCTTAGCCCCCAGAGTGTCCACTCTGCTAGAGGGCTTTGATTCTTGGGGAGCCATACCACTTGTCTCATTTATTTAAGCCTTCACTGTACACTCATTTGGGATTTTGGGAATCTTGACTAGGTCTTTGATATTAGATTATCCTACAATGATATTTCACTTGTCAGTCAATTCCAGATCTCCAGATCTCAACAGGCCTCACGATCTGGATTAAGTTGATTGTTTGATGTGGTTTATTAGGTCTTTAATAATTGTGACAAGTTAAGATACAAACAAAAGTTGAATAAGAAAGAGGCAAGCTAAAGCTATACTCACCCTAATGCATACAAAACCAGTAGTTCTAATAAGCACTGAGATTTTAAAGGGTGATAAAAGCAAGTCAGAGTGCTTAAAATATAAGCAACCTGGACAGTAGGCAAAAGAGTTCCCTCTATATCTACCAAATCCTTGTCAGATCACAGAAGGACCCTGGCATTGGAGAAGAAAATGTCATTGTTTCCAGAGAAAATATTATCACAATAGCCAGGGAAGATGCCCAGACACTCAATCGTGATGCCTGAAGAGGCCACATGGATATCATTACCTTATGAGAGCCTTTGGTGACCTTAGATGGAGCCTCTATGACATTGGGGCATCTTAGTCAAGTCTAATTTTTTATTGGGGTGTGTTAATCATCCTATTCCTGTTATTGTGAGCTTGAAGGAGTTACCTGGTCAGCTTCCTTTACCTTCATTTTGAACTGATGTTTCCAAGATTTCCTTTCCATGCTGCCTTTGTTGTGATACCAGAGTGCCACATACCAGTAATTAAAAGAGACATACTACTCAGAGTACATCTAAGGGAGATTCCTTCTCAGAGTTACTCTGTCATTCAAATCTTTGGCAACTCATGTCCTAGTTGTTAGAAATACAGCCAATATGATGGTAGCCTGGAGGAGGCTGTCAAGGTTGCTCCAGTAGTCATTCAGCTAGAACAGTCTATTAGGGCATAGCCTTACAAAGTACTATTAGTTTAAAAGAGAATCTAGGCAGGAGATAAACCCCATTGTTGATTAAATATTGACTATAGTGTTGCTGGTGCCATGCCAGTCCCCATATAATACACTCCTTTAAGCAACAGTCAAGACATCAGGAAAATATGACCTAGCACAAGACTCAAGAGTCATCAATAAGGCACTGGTACCTATATACCCACTATAACAGATTCATACACCATGTTAAACACTAACTGGCTCTCTCTCTCTCTCTCTCTCTCTCTCTCTCTCTCTCTCTCTCTTTCTCTCTCTCTGGTTCTTTGTTCTTCATCTCCAAGATCCTTTTCTATTGCAGTTGATCTTACTGAAAGAGGTTTGGCCCAGACAGGACACTGTAGCTGGTAAAGCCTCAGGCGGAACCAAGGAGCTCAATCTCCCCCACCCCTAGGAATTTACCTATGGCACCAAACAAAGACCAATGGGCCACCTGTGCATCCCTAATGCTCCCTTAGGTTCCACCCCAAACCGAGGCTATATGCTCCACTCCACATGCTCCACGGAGAGATCGCTGACCCTGGGGGGGGGGGATGCCGCGCTCCACGGGATCGGGAATGTCTCTCCCCACATTCTCAAAATAAAGGTCATTTATATTTCATACTTCTTATCTTTTCAGCCACCACTGGTCCCCCAAAGTTCTATCACTTACCTCACAATACTTGTTTGCCTTTGAATAGGAAGATTCTCAAACAAGTCTTGCCTCAGGGTATTAGAGATGGCTCCCACTTGTTTAGCCTGAGACCTAAAGCTAAAAGGGAGGCCTTTTATAATATGTAGATAATCTCCTCATTTTGTAGCCGCACCGAAGAGCTATCTGATTAAAAACACCCTTAACACTGTCAATTTTTTTTTAGCACAAAGGGGTTATAGGACACCCAAAATAAGGCCCAGATTTCTCAACAAAAGTGACATATCTGGAATATATCTTAACTCCAGGACAAACACCAACATCCTCAAAACAACAGAGGCAATTTTATCTGGGTTCGCTAGAGTCTAAACAGCAATTAAGGCATTCTTGGGAAAAGCAGGATTCTACTACTTATGGATACCCATTTTAGAATAATAGCTAAACACCTACATTAGGTGACTCTGTAATAACTCAGACCCTGGTATAAAATCCAAGGAAGCAAGAAACTGAAATTTGGGAAGCAAAGGCTTTATTAGACCAGGCCTGGTAACAAGTCTCCGGGAGTCAATTTGGAGACTGCGTGCCAGAGACTGAAGGGAGGACTTTAAAAAGAGGCTGGAGGAAAAGGGCGGGGGGGAGAAACAAAGAAAAGTGCAGAGCCATCAAACTTGTTGACCTGAATCTGGAAACTGTATAGCTGTCCACTTAGTTCTGACAACCTTGCGAGCCTTTGGTGCCTTTTGAGTTACTCCCATCCTGCAGATAAGAATTATCTGCAATAACATTTGGAGAAGAAAGCTAATTATCTCAGGACAGCTCGTTAACCCTAACAGGTAGGAAGGGGTCAAAAGTTACAAGAAGCTGAAACTTAAGCCTTCACAAGGATTTGGAACTTAACCCTTTTGGTGCATTAGGGTTAAGCCACAACATTTTCCTGTAATTTCTCTGAAGCTAAGGCACATTTTATGACAGACCACCACCAGGTCAGGAAGAGGCCACCAGAAACCCAAAATCTTTATGGCCTAGCCTAGATAGATAGGTAAGGGGAGAAGGGAAGCAATAAGGTGCTCAGGCAAGGGAGCAATACAGAACAGAACAGGTGCTCAGGAGAAGGGAGGCAATACAGAACAGAAAATGGCGGTTATGTTTTTCTTTCTTTCTGGGGAGGGGGATCAAGGTCAGGTAAAGGGTTATGCTAATAAGCAAATCTCCCTGCACACAAGCAAGTTACTTCAAACAAGTGTAAATTAGAGGGCCATCCTAGTTTTCTTTAGCTCTTTAGCGGAGAATAGAGGCACCTAACAGTGATTAACAACACTTGTTAGCTTGTTTTAGCACCACTTCTGTTATGTAGAGGGCAACAATGGTTAACATATCAATTAGGTAAGGTTTTACAGTTCTTTACAGAGGAGAGCATTGTTTAACATATCAATTAGGTCATCGAAAGGGAAAAGGAAAACACATACATAAGCCATGTTTCAGGTTTTGTTATAATACGCAAATAACGAAGCTATTTTCTTAGAGTACAACAACTCAAAGATCATAAGCTTAGTCCTTGAAACAGACAGGAGTTTTGGTATTAAGATAGGTTATGCTACAGTCAGCCTTACCTAGATCACTGAAGCAAGAAATCTCTCTTCTGGGACTTCTTCACAAAAAGCAGTTATTATTGCCTTCACTTGGCTCTCCAATTTCCCCAGGGCAAGAGAGCCTATAAATACTGACTCTAAATATGTCTTTCTGGTTTTCTGTATACATGCAACCATCTAAAAGGAAAGTAGACTTTTGACTGACCCCTAGTAGCCAATGAAACAGACATGCTTAGCCTCCTTAAAGCAGTAAATCTCCAAAGTTAAGTCAGCAGTTGCCCACTCCCAGGAATACCAACCTTCCTTGGACCCTGTCCCACAGGGTAATTCTACTGGGCTGCCAAATGGGCTGAGTTTGGAGAGCAGAATCAGCAGGAAATGAGGATAAAACACAGAATTTAAAGAGGAGAGGAGTTTACCACCTTGAGGAATTTGGGGGTGGAGTTATTGTGGTTGTCCACCAAATGGGCAAGGCATGCAAGCATGATCATTTCTCAAGAAAGGGTGCACAGATGACGTGGCTTTTTTCTTCTTCTGTGGTTTTCCACTGTGCCTGCCAGTAATAGCCTCACCTGTTTTTGTCTCTTTGTTATAAAGAAAAGGCAGTAGGGGAAGTGGGTGCTGTTTCTCATGGGTTATTTGTGTGGGTGATGTGGGCAGCATGGACACCTTAATCTAAAGAGTTTTGGGGGGATGGGATGATACGGGGTGGTGAGGTTAGTAAGGACCCAGACCTGGGGAGAGACTGGAGTGGCTGAAGATACAGAGATATAAAGCCAATAATCTTGCCTAAGGAAGGATTGGACCAGCTTAGTGGAAAGTGACTTAACTGCAGGTCCTGAGAGGTGATCAGGGACCATCAAGAGGAGTGGTAAGGACGGAACTATGCAGTGTGGTGAAAGGTCAGGAGGGATAGCTCTGTGAAAGAGCACAGAAAAGAAAACAATCTGGGGCTGGGGATTTAGCTCAGCGGCATAAGCGCCTGCCTTGCAAGCAGGCAGTCGTGAGTTCAATCCCTGGTACCGGTAAAAAGGAAAAAGACAAAAAAAAAAAAAAAAAAAAAAAAAAAAAAAAAAAAAAGACAATCTGACTCCATCTGGGGAGAAGTCATACACAGTGTCCTGAAAAAGATCTTTATCCACATAAGTACTTGAAGGTGGGAACCTGAAGGTGAACTAAGGAAGATCAAGGCAGACGAAATGAAAGACGTAGGTGAAGCAGCAAGATAGGCTGGGTCAGGGCATTCAAGCGTCTTCTGGAATTTCAGTCATCCTGAGAGACATAAGGGAGATTACTCATGGTTTTCACAAAAAGGAGTCAGGCAAGTTATCAACAGGACACAGCTTCACTCAGGAGTGAGAGAGTCTCACAGATGGACCACCACAATTGTCATGCTGTAGATGACCAGGAAAGGTCTTGTCTAAGTAGGCTGTAGGGTCTGGAGATATAAATCTTTGAGAAATTTGTTAGTCAAGCTATCTTCTTAAGGCTGGTGTTAAGACAGGAAAAGATTAGCAGCATGTCATCACTTTTTGGGCCTGTTGCAGAACTGGGAGATAGTCCCCAATGGGGCTGGCCTCTGAACTGAAGTTTGGCCTGAGCAGAAGCATGCAACCATATTAAAGTTCAAATGGACTCACCAGGGAGACTGAGGCAAGATAACTGTTGCAAGTTCAAGACCAGCCTGGGTTACAAAGTAAGGCCATCTTGAACTTCATAGCAAGACCCTGTCTCAAAAAGCAAATTAAAAAAAATAGTGGAGGCTAGTAGGGGGTGTAGAGGTTTTGTTGGACACCAAGAAATTTGGACATCTAGGTAATTTGAAAAATGAAAGCTGGGGAAATCTCTTCCAAGTTTATATCCCCCATGTTAAAGTTTGTTCATTTAACCTCCTGGAGGGAAAGAAGGTCTCCAATCAAGACGTTTAAAGTTATCTACTGGCAAGTTGGAGAAAAACTACGGTTTTAAGAGTCTGAAGAGAAAGATCTCAGACAGTGGCCGCCTGGGAGAGGTCAGAGAGGAACTGGGGCTTTTGTGCTTGCCACTTTTTAGATATAGAAGGGCAGAATGCAAGGGAGTAATGTGAAACTAGTCTGGACTCGGTATGTGGTAAAGTAGGTGTTCAGAGAGCAGGTGGTAGAGGGTTAAAGAAGCAGAGTACAGCCCAGGCAGCCCAAGCTCTTCAACTTGGCTCTGTGGTGCTATGATTGTGGGTCTTAGGAAGGTGGCCCAGGGTGGGCTCAGGCCAGGCAGAGATCAATTCACTCAGAGCCATGCAGCCACAGTGTGGTGGCAGTAGAGAGGGAAGGGAGGTGCAGAATGGACCAGTGTGGCGGATGGGCACGGACACAGAAGCAGTGTACATAGGACTGGTGGTGCAGAATGAAGTGAGGATGAAGCAGGGTGTGGTGAGGAGAGCACAGGCTACATTTTCCTTTCCTGGTCTGGGCTCAGATGTGCTTACGCCAAAGGAGGGCTGCACACACAGTTGTGTGGGCGGCTTCCAGGTGACAGACAGTAGGCTATGTACACAGGCACTGTGGTCCTACTATGCACACAAATGATGGTTGGACCTTGGCCTTTATGGTGGTGCTGTCTTGGCTATGCCATGCTGTCAGGGCTGAGGGCAACAGATGGGCTTGGCAGGGTAGGCTGGGTATGGCAGGGACAGATGGGTCACAGGCCTGGTAAAGTGTCAAAGTGTCTGGAGTTGGGAGATCCACTGCCAGGCCCTATCTGCCAAGCCTCCGACTGAATGATGGTGGTGGGAAGGAGAGGTGAGGAAAAGTCAAGCGGTGGCCGTGGGTACAACCTAGGCTTGCACTGGGCTCTGTGCACTTCCTCCCCTATAAGGCAGAGGTCACAGTAGCCAACAGCATTATCACTCAGGACTGCAGAAGGTGGGGAGGGCCGAAGCTGGAGACAAATGGAAAAGTCTTAAAGGCAAGAAGTTTTACTTGATCTAAAGGTGGCAGGGAGTGTGGAGTGTGGTCTGAGAAAACAAAGTCATTAGGTTGACTCAAAGACATCTGGGGTTAGAGATAGGGCTTCAAGTCCCTATAAGAGGATTACCTTGTCCTGGGTTTCAGTACCACATATGTTAAAAGTTCAGAGGAAAAAGACCAACTGAGAAAGCTTAGTATAAGCAAACACGGTTGTTTATTCACTCTCATGGGAATGAGCTGAGTTCAGAGAGCAGAAGTAGCAGGAAGAAAGGTAGAACAAAGAATTTAAGGGGAAGTGGAGGAGTTTTCAGCCTGGAGGAATTCGGGGGCTGAGATACTGTAGTTGTGCTTCTTCCAATCAGCAAGGCAGATGCAAATGTGGTCACATTTCTCAGGAAGGATGTTGCAGAGTGACATGGCTTTGTTCTCCTGCGGTTTCCCACAGTGCTTGCTGGTAACAGCCTCACTCGTCAGCCAGGACAAAGGCCAAATCCTAGGTTGTAAACCCTGTAATAAGTTTTAGTGGATAAATGTTCATGTAAAAACTATACAATCATTTTTAGTTAATTTTTATCAAAATTAACACTAGACTTATCACTATTAATAAGATAGAGAGGAGTCTATATACTCTACCTGATATACCCCGGTACATGTCTCAAGACAAATAGAGGTTAATATTAAAGATTATTCACCATTCTATTTTTAATTTTTAGCCCCTCCTTATTCAACATGTTTGTAACATTTATATCTTCCAGACATCTCACAGCTGATGCTCACCTGTGCTATTATTAAAATTATACGTGTGTGTATATATATATATGTATATATAGTCTTCTGACAATTCTACAAATGTGTTTTCTACATTACAAAATGTTCACAGGTTAATACAATGACAGATTTTGCCTTAAGCCTTACTGCCATGCTCATTATAAACCCTATACTGTTAGGTCTCTTAAGTTAATCATGAAAAGACTTTTGATCCCTGACTAGGCAAAATCAGTGCCTCTCTTCAACCTGAAGCAGTCATTCAAAAAAGGCCTTTTACTACTTTACGTCTGTTAAGAATAAGGGAACAGAAGTGATGGGGTTGAGGCAGGATCTCAGAAATAAAATGGGTGGAAAATAAACAAGGAAAATCATAAATTTAAAGTTTGACTTTCAATAAAAACTGCAAGTTCAAGACACAAATACAGCCAGAAATTCCTAAGATCCTCATAGACACAATAAGCTTGGGCCATTCCTCTTTACCTGTAAATGGGCCCTTTTCATCTGTAAAACGGGCCTTTCCCCTCGGGACAGGCTACAGAACTACCATTCCACTACAGATTGTTATAAATGGGCCTTTACCTTTCTCCTGCAGAAAGAGCCGTTGCCTTTCATCTGAAAATTTAATCTCTTTTTTTCCGTAGATTCACAAGTTCCACAGGTTTCTACCCCCAAAAAACTCAAAATACACCCAATCTCAGACCCATGGTATCTCTAAGCCTGCACTCAGTTTGAGTGTGTACTTTTAAAATTGTACCTAATAAACCACTTTGTTACTCTTACTGACACATCCAAAAACTTTGTGTGATGGAAATCACCTACCCTGCAATCTGCTCTGTGAATGGGGTAAGTCAAGGCTCCCCATCTCCACTCTGGGGACCCTCTCAGACTCCATCCAGTTATGGAGGGATGGGTAAAAAAGTTACCAATTATTTCATTAAAAGAATGTGATACGGATATAAATTTACAGAGATGAAAAAGCTGTCCACTATACTCCATTAAGTGAATCAGCAGGTTACAAAACAGTATCAACATTGTCAAATTTTAATTTTCAAAACTGTGTCAATGTAACACTTGGTATCTCTACATACAGAGATACTAAGAAATTATCAGAAAGGTTTTAATCTCTGAGTGTGAGATGCTGAGTACATTTCTGTTTCTCTTTTAAGACTTTCTGACTGGGCCTATTATAAAATACCTCTAAACAGAGGAAATTAAGAATTGATAAAAGTACAGGAAGTGATAGATATGTTAATGACCTTATTTATAGTAATTTGACAATCTACTTGTATTTCAAAACCAGATGCTGCATACCTTAAGTATACATGATTTTTTGTTACTTATACTCACTTACATTTTTTAAAAAGTGCTTTAGTCTTATTTTGAGCTAGTACTAAGTCAACTAGATGCTTATTAATTTTTTATTTTTTTGATACTGAGGATCAAACTCACAACCTCACACCTGACAGGAAGGAACTGTGCTGCTGAGCTATATCCCCAGCCCATATTCACTTATATTTGAAAAAGGCCAAGGATATACATTAGTCCTAGGTTCGATCCTTTGTCCCACCAAAAAACAAACGAGAGCTACGCGTGGTGGCATATGCCAATTATAGCAGCACTTGGGAGGCGGGGGCAGGAGAGTTGATTGGTACAAGGTTGAGGCCAGCCTGGGCTACAAAGTAAGTGTAAAACAAGCATGAACTACATAGTGGGACACTGCCTTCTCTCAAAAAGGAAGATGGAAGAAAGGAAAAAACAAAGAAATAAAGAGACAGAGAGGTAGAGAAAGAAAAAAAGAAAAGAGAAAGAGAAAGAAAGAAAAAAAAGAAAAAGAGAGAGAGAAAGAAAGAAAGAAGGAAGGAAGGAAATGGAAGGAGCAGAGGGAGGAGTGTGGAAGGACTTTTTTTTATTTTTTAAGAATTTAATTTTCTCTTTTTCAAAAAAAGAGGTAGGAAAATTCTTAAGCCACAATAATGAACAAAGCCTACCAAAAGTCTGGCAAAATGTTTCTTTTAAAATTTGGTTTGGTTGGAAGGAAGGGAGGGGAAAAAAAACAGGCCACAGAGTCATACTTTAACTAGACAGACTACAAAAAAACCTCATCTGTGTGAACAAAGAGGTAGAAGCAGAGAGAGAGCATCTCCTGATTATAAACTGGGGAAGGTCAAGAGCCTTGAAGGATCCCACCAAATGCAGCAAAAGAGACAAATTGGGAAGATGTGAGTCTCTAGGAACCTCAAAATCCCTCTCCCACTGGAATTCCCTTTTCCCTGAACCTCCACCTTTATGTCTCTTGGAATACTCTACTCCTACCCTCAAAGCATGTCTGCCTTGATTCCAAGATGTTTGGACTATCCAGCACTATGTGTACAAATCAGTGAGAATGACCTTTATGACGGTGCCCCCACCCAGCTACCTTTAAGATTCTCAAAAGTTGCTTTTGTTCCCCTTTTCTGTAAAACCCCAAAGAGTCTGTTAACCTTCCAAAGACAAGTCTTGAATATGTTCATCAGTGCTGCCCAGCGTGGGCATGCTCATTAAAGCTCCTGCCCTTCACCATTTCTTGCCTCCTGAATCAGCATTAAGGGACATGAGACCTAGTCTAGCCTGTTGGGAGCATCAGAGTAGAGTTTGCCCTAAAACATTGATAAAAAGTCACCTGGTCTGTAAAATGACACTGCTTGCCAATTCAATAGCCATTTCATAGAGTAATTCAGACTTAAGAATGCAGAGCCCTCTGAAGAGTAAATGCTGAATTCACATTCCATCACCACTATCACATCAAGCTCCCAGTAGCAAGGTTTGAATCTGGCCCCAACCCTCATACAAGGATTTTCCCATTTCTTTACAGGCCAGATGTAGAAACAGGATGAAGCCAGATTGGGAGAAGAAGCCCCAGACTTTACCTGCGTGTCTTCTGAGGTCACAGGAACCCAGACAGATAAGACAAAACAAATCTCCTTTCCTTGTCATGAGTTTAAGGGAGCTGCCAATGAATCAGCCATGGATGAGCAGGGTGGTATTCCTGCCATGGGAAACCAAGGCTTCAGAGAAGAAAGATGTCTGACCCAAGCCCACACTACCCTGTGGTGGAGACAAAACCATTGGTGATCATCCCACAAACACTGATTCTTCTGGTAGGTCTCAAGATTGCATCTTGCAGAGATAGAGAAGCTCCCATCAATATAGACTACTAGATACAGGAAGGGAAACTCCCATTCCAGACTCTACCACATGGCTAAGCTAAACCAAGTCTTGGTTCACACTTAGCAGGGCATGGAAAAACCACTGGGCTTCTGTCCCAAACTTCTAGATGCTGCTCTAGGGGCCACAAACTGGAAAGTCCCTCACTGAAAGTGCTCAGGGATGGGTGTTATCTCCCAGTGGGGAAACATGGACCCATTAATAGGGTGGGGTGGAGCTGCCTGAGTTTGGGAAGGGGCTCATACCTGCCTGTACTATCCAGAGCTAGTAAGCATCCAACATTCCTTTTTCAAGTGGTGGCTAGATTATGACTCCTGGGGTAGTTCTAATAGTCAATTTGAACTGGGCATCCTTCCCTGCCTTCCTGATTTGTTTCTTCTTATGGAAAATGGAAATGCTACTGCCACTGTGAGATGAAAGTAGAAAACCATTTTAAATCATTTTTCAAACTGTAGAGAACACTGCAAATTTAACATTAGAAGACTTTTTTCCTTTTCAAGAATTTTCTTTTTTGGAAAAAAGTGGACAAATTCTAGAACCACAATAATGAACAAAGGCTATCAAGAGTCTGGCAACATCTGTTTGCTCAATGTTTTTTTTAAAATCTGGTTTGGATTTTCTTCAGATTCTTAATTAATTTAAATTAATATTAAATTCCTAATTCTCTGTGATGCAACCAATGTGATGTTTTAAAATTGTAAATATGACCTACAACTCCACGTAATTAATGGATGAACAGCAAGAGCAAAATGTTAAATTTAAGAACCAAAATAGAGAGGGGCATGGTGGTAAAGACTTGTAATTCCAGCACTCTTTAAAAACTGGAAAAAGTTCGATCCCCTGTACCAATAAAAAGGAAAAAGACAAAAAAAAAAAAAAAAAAAGTTTTTAAATTTTTCAGTCCCTTTAGGTATGTGCTCTGAGGAGTGAGCAGAATGGAGGGCCGGGGGGGGGGGGGTGGCTGTCCTTGCGGCCTACCTGGTCAGTCATCAGTTGGCAGCTGGACCTTGCTAGGGTCAAAGCAGTTTGAGTCCATGAGGGGCAGGCCGTTGGCCTCTCGGCATTTCACCAGCCTCTCTGCCTCTCGGCGGGCCCACCCGTGCATCCTGTAGTCAGGCAGGTAAGCCACAAAGGTGGTCCCAAAGACGAGAACAATGGAGAAGCCAAAGAAGAAGACAACGCGCATGTTCCAGACATCCAGGACCGGGTCCTGGTGGAAGCCATGGGAGTTTGGGTTCTTCTCGTACAAGCTTTCTTCCTTGGCTTCTGGGTCCTCCTGCCATTGCATGGCAGGTTCTGGAGCCAGCTTTCCGGGCACAGTGGCTGGAGTGACCACAACCCTGGAGGAGCTGGATTCCCAGTGAACTCGGGCACCACAGAGCCCTCGCTTCGCTGTGGCTGACAAAAGGCTGTGAGCGCGCAAGCCGAACAGCCTGGTCGCCATGATAGAGTGCGCGCGTGTCACGTGGGCGCGGACGGACTGCGACTGCGCGCGCAGCCGCAGTTGATCCTAGCGCGCTTGTGGCCCCGCCCTCACCTCGCTAAATAGATCTTGGGTCCTGAGTTTTCCGTGGAGGTGAGATGCTAAGAACCCTCTTTTCTTTATGTATTATGGCCTAATGGGACTAATCATTCGATCAAGCTGAGGAATTTCATCTTGATCAATCCCTGTGCTTTAGCACTCAGGTGACTGATGCAGGATGATTCCCACGAAGTTGAAGCCTGCTTGCATTGCATAGGGAGACTTTTCTTTAAAAAAAAAAAAAAAAGAGTGAAAGAGAGAGCCAGGTGTGGTGGCCATGTTCCTGTAATCTCAGGATTTGGGAGGCTGAGGCAGGAGGATCGCCAGGAGTTTGAGGCCAGCCTTGGCTATATAGTGAGTCCAGGCCACCCCGAACTACACAGTGAGACCCTGTCTGAAAAGAGAAAGAAAAGAGAAAAGAACACGGATGAAAGAGTGCCCACTGTATGATTTCACTTGTACATAGTGTGTTTAAAAGGGCAAACATTTAGAAGTGAAGATAGGGTTTCTTGGACGGATGGGCGCTGTTAATGTTCTGCAAAATCGAGTCCTACATTTCTGTGTACTTTCTTGTATACATATTATCCTTAAGTATAAACTAACTGGGAGAAGAAAGAGAAATTCATCATGACTCCACTCGCCTAAAAGCGCTTCTTCTCAATGCGAGTAGAAGTTAGTATCAAAATGCAGCATCAATGTCAAACCCTAATTCTCGAGTTGGGAGCCCAGGAAGGAAGGGCCCTCATGCTAGTATGGCCGTGAGGGGAGCTATGCAAGGACTCCTGGGGACCGTGGGATTCCAGACAGCCTCCTTGAGTGCGCCACAGAAGCGTCCTAGCACAAGGACACTGGCCTGATAGTGGCTCTCCATGGATGACTTAACCACTTTCTGCAGCAAGGCTGTCACCAACTTTGCTCCAACACAGATGAAGCTTCTACAGACCTGTCAGTCGGTGTAGTATGTGTAACCTTGATTGCAGTCCCTCGCTACTCCAGCATAAACAAACTCTGTCTGTTACTCATTTTGGGTTTGCATGCAAAATTTGCATTCTGTTCCTGCAGTGTAAGGCACATCTGCCTTCCTCACCTCGTGAGGCCACACTGGGTCTCTTCCTTCTACATTCCTGTTTCTGCATTGTGCTCAGTTTGAAGGCCGCTGCCTCTTAGAGACTGTCCTGAGCCCCAATCTAAAAGAATTCCATTATTCCTGAGTATCCTGGTCTTACCTTTATAACACCAGTTTGCTTATATAAATGCTTTTTATACATCATTTTCAGGAAAATAACCTATCCAAACAGACTCTAAGTCAAAAAAGGGTGGGCTGTTCTGGGACAGGAGATTAGGGCCTGCAAAACTGGCTGAGGAAGTAGGCATGACCTGTTAACTATAAGATCCTGCACACCCGAGCAGAACAGTCCCATAGCCCTGTACAGAGACTCTTCGTGAGAACTCTAGCAGGTTTTCAATAGGAATGTTTAGACCTCACCTCAGCCTGAGGCATGGGATCCCTGCACTGCCTCTTGGGATGTGCATGTAGAAGTTCTGAATTTCCTCAAGATTTGGACAGCATAAAAGAAAGGTGGCCAGCAGGAGCAGTGCTATCCTAACTTTCCACAATGGCACACACTATTTCTTACATGCAGCGTATACTTTTATTTTTGCTTTTACCTCTTTTTCTCTTTACTCAGCCCAAGCTCACTCTGCAGAGCCAGTTTCTCCCGTGCTCTTCATTTTTGCTTCTTGAATAAGCTTTACTTTTTTGGTCATTTTGTTCAGTTCTTTTGGGACAAGAAGAATCCGGGATCTAACTCCAGAAGAGGTGAGCAACCCAGAACCTGGTAATGTTTAGTTGGCAAGCCACCTTTAGAGGCAAGCTACCCCATAATTGTCTGGCTATTAAAGTAAAAAAAAGAAGGGGCAGAGCTAGCCACACTGAGCGTGAAAGGTATCAAGAGGAGTCGGTGCTTCTTGTTTGTGCTATTCAATGTAACTTGGTGCTTTAAATAAACATGATTATTCATATAAAACAATGATCTCATGATTTTAAAATTATATAAATGAACCAATAGACAATTGTTTTCCTGCCTGGAATGTTGAGACAATTGACAGGCTCTAAGTGGGAACCAATAGAATGGAGAGCAGTTCCTCTGTTCTCTCTTAAGGACATGTTTCCAGGCCACTTATTTTCAGATGGGGAAACTGACACCTCTCAAGAAATCACTCACCAGTCCAAGGTCTCCTGGATTCGAGTCAGCAGTAGATAAGGCTGAAGACATAATCCTGGGGTGGGAGACAGGAGTACTGACTTAGGAGACAGATCCCAGAAAACTCTCCAGTTTGAGTAGTCCCACCTCCAGATATAATGCAGTTCCACTTATTCCAAGAAATGAAAGAGAAGATTCTTGGCTCAGACCATAGACTAGGGCCCTGGTCTAGTCACTGAACCTGTGAACCTGTGAAGTTTAGTATTCACCTTGGCCTCTGACAGGAGGGTTGGAAAAGACATAAGTGAGCAGAGTGCTTGGAAAAGATGATGTCTGGGAGCCATAATCTAGGGGTGGGGTCTGGTTTGCAAAGGTCACCTGGTCATCCTCAGAGTAAATCAACTTCTCCATTTTTAAGATCAGAATCTGAGAATATACAGCCATTCTGGGTATTGAGAAAAACGAAGGTTTCAGCAAGCAATTTGGAGACTTTGCTAGATATTGTGTTGTTTAGATGAAAATCCAAAAGTTATCAGCTTCTTTAAATGTTTTCTGCCAGTATCTACCTGGATATAGTTGTCAGGATCACTGTAATGATTCTGTTCTACCAAACCACTGAGTATGATCAGCTTCTATGTCCCTTGACACCCACGGGGTCCTGAGAAGGGGCGATAGGAGGTTAAGAAAAGACAAGATACATAGGAAAAGGAAAGCTGAGGCCAGGTGGAACTCAGCTCTCTGATAGGTGGTGACCGCATCCTGGCCCCGCGTCTTTATTTATATAATGTAAAAAGGGAGGAAGCATGGAGTTGAAAATGCAATGTCTCATGCTTTTCTGAGAGCATGGAAAGAAAAATGTTCTCAGAGCTACTTGTGCTGTAGTTAACAGGGAAGAACCCCAGGGGCCAGATACTTGCTGATAGGCAACGGAGCAGGAGGTCAACTTGTTTACAAGTCTGTGTTCCCAGGACTGGCTTCGCTCCAGTCCTAACAATTTGTTCACGTGGTTCAATCCTGGTGCTCCATATTCTCAGGACTGGCCTTGCTCCAGCCCCAAATGTGGGGCTGGTTCGGCCTCTCCCCACAATCAGCAAAAGGTGATTTTTTTTGCATGTCTTTTTAGTATATTCACAAAGAAAAACATACCCAAAATGCAGTCAAGATCTTTTCCAAAACAAGAAATTCAAAGATATAATAGCAAAATAACCAAAATACTCCACAAACTATAGGAGTCCTTTAATTTTATCAAGCATCAGAATTCATCGGATTGTTGCTCTCTGCCTCAAGTTCCTGGGGCAGTGGGGCAGTGGAACTCATAATGCTGCATTTCTAGAATTATCACTTATGCTTCTAATGCTAATAATGAGCACACTATTAACTCCACTTCAGCAGAATGTGGAACGCACACTTTTACTGTAGAGAGAAGAATGCTCTCAGCCAAAGCTACAGGACTTAAACACACATCAGTGGTGGGAAATTTTTCCCCATAAACATTTGTATGAACTTTGGCTTTAGATTAAACTCTTTAGAGTTTGGAATTCTCCTTGCATAGAGGGAGTGGCAGTAAGTGAGGCAACCAACGAGATTTGTGCAAGGAGGCAATGTAGTGAGAGACTGAGAAGTCTTCCCCTTATCAACAGCTCTTCAAAGATCTCATTATCCATGTAAAAGAAGATATACCCAGTACATCTAACCTTCTGCACCAGGGACTCTGAGATACTTGATACTGTAGATCATTGTAAGTGAACCAGATCCACCTTTTAAAATCAGAGGCATCATGAATGATGGTATTTGCACTATGGCTGCTGATACCAATGGGCCAGGGGGTATGATCTGCCTTAACAGCCTCTCTCTCTCTAGTTCCTAGTTAATTTTGTCTTCTTATCTAAAATATCTTCATTTCTGAGATTAGCCTTCTGTTGGAAGACCTCCAGATAGTGTCTGTTGAGAGGTTTTTTTTAATGGATTCTTGTTGGAGAACACTATGAAGTGGCTCTGAGCAGGATTTAAATTTTACTAATTGGCTTTCTATGTTTATCTGTGAGTCTGTCCTAGGCCTAGGCCCCTTGCCTGGCAACAGGAGCTGATTCATAGTAAGTGGACCTCTATGAATCACTGGTCCTGGCTGAGGCCTGTAGTAGCCTGTGAGGCCAGAGATACCTCAAAGGGCAAGATAAGGCCACAGCTGTGGACACTTGACTCCAACCCCAATTAACTAGGTAGAGACTGCAGCTGCAAAGATTACTCCTATAGTCTCACTTCTACCATGTCTTCATGATAAGACAGTGCTACTAGTTGACTTGATTCATGACTTGGAGATGTCCTTGAAGTGACTCCCAAGGTCCTGCTCATTGCCGGCACTTTCCTCAGTCTCTCTGCCCTTTGTCCTTGGTCCTAAAATAAGTGGACTGATCCAGAGAATCCTTTGTCTTTACCCTCGAAGCTTCAAGCTTAATTAAAGGGTTTTGACCCTCTTGGAACTCTGAAAATCATACAATTTGTCTCTTTATATTTAACCACCGTACACTCATTTGGGAGATTGGGGATCTAGGACAGAACTTGATAGATTCTTATCCAAGCCTGTTACCTGTCATCACTCAGTACATGAGTAGCTGCTGTTGTCATAAAAGAAACATTTCTGTCACACACCTTCCCCATCCTCCTAACACACACACACACACACACGCACACACACGCACACACACACACACACACACGCACGCACACACACACACAC